AATTTATGTACCATTTTCATTCGTATTTGGTACATACATCATACATATCAGTGTGTTTCATAATCAGATCAAAGATGGCTGAATAACGGCTGTTTTTATTTTGGCCATATTACTATGACACGAAACACGTGTTTTGATGTAAATAAACAATCTGTTGTATACGCCACTTGGAACTCAAGTTTCAAGGACACGCTCGCCACAACCCCTCCGCTTTAATATGACGAGCACAAAGAGAACTTAACGGGGACTGTGTCATTTTCAATGACTTGTTGAAATGTGCGTTGCTAACAGTGGCATCCTGAGGCACATCTATTATTTTTCAGATTTGTTGTTTAAATTGGCTGACTGGCAGCCATTTTGTATGTCAAAAATACTTATTTTTGTTTATCTTTGCTTAATACATGTATACATGTAACTTGAGAATACAATTACTAAGTTTATTCAGATTTAGTACCTAGGCAGTATATTATTCCACAAAAATGCAAGTTAATTTTTTCAAGATTCTATACAGCTGACCAGAAGCCATTTTGTTTGAAAAAGAATACAATTTTTGTCTTTTTTTTTGCACAATTCTGCTTATATCTCAAATTCACACAGTTCTATTACTTGCAGACTTGATTCACAAATGATTGTGTTTTAGCACATCAAGAAAAGTTGATTATGTTCCAATACAGTTAAAGATGGTTGCATGGTAGCCATTTTGTCACGAAAAACAACAATTTATTCTTTTTCACACTGTAATTCAGTTAAGTGTTCACAGCTACATGTACCAAAATTCACAATTTTCACATTCTCACTACCAAAGTTTAATTATTTCCACTTTGTAACTTTGCAAAAAGACTTTGGATGCCATAAAAGGCCATGGTTATGATTAGATTTTATTTAATTCACAAAATTACATGTATTTAGAGCAGTTTAAAGTAACATGTGAGAACAATCATTCTCAAGATAGAATATTTAAAAACACTGGCACCATGAAAATATATTGTAAGCTATGTATCAAAATATACATGTATATATGCTGCATGAAAACCATAGATTCCCTCCAGCATTCTCATTAAAGGAACTCTAACCATGTCAGAACTATGCATGTGTTAATTCTCCTGTTCCGTTATTGTTCCTTTGTAGGCCTTCCTTTACCTTCCATCAATTCCAAACATAACTCATATATAAAATAATAATAACTTTATTACTTTACAAGCACCATCTGAGAGGACTACAATGTATATGTAAAGACAAAAAACATAATGGCTCCTTGTAAAACAGCATTTAGCTGACAGGATTCCTAATAAACTTTGAACCACAAACACCTTCAACTATAACTACGGTAATTTAGTTTTGTCTCCTAAATCTAGTCACTGCATAATCACTGATGATATAAAGACTTATTTATTTTCTGACTAAATTCAAAACAATTGAGAAAATTCCTTGGGTTTGCCAGAAAATGGAGTAAAATAATATAATGACTAAAATAACACTAATGTGTAATTATAATTTATTTTTCTTCTTTTTTTACCAGGAATTATTTGTTCTTCATCCTGCCATGAATAAAGCACAATTAAGGGATTACATACTGATAGCATTATATTTATAAAAAAAAAAATATAAAATTTAATTTAGTGCAATGCTGATTATAAAGAGTTGTCTAAAATTTGTTATTTGTGTCAGCACCAGCACTTGCAATTTGCACATACAAAAAAAAGTTAGAAGAGACAACAGTGACATTTAATGACCGGAACTGTCACCTGGCACAAAAATATTATTTGAAAAAAAAAAAAATTGTTATCTTCAGAAACAAATGTACTTATCTTATGTTTTGATATTTTGTATAGAGAGCCGTTTATTAAAATTAGCATAATTTATTATAATTTATTCCATTTTGCAACTGCAATATTTTTTGAAGTAATTTGTTTTCTCTATAAAAATGAATCAGAGATACATGATATTTATTATTTTTAGTTGTGGTTTGAATTTTGTGCAATCGTCAAAAAAGCCCAATTTTGTTCTGTTCATGGTAGATGATCTAGGAATGGGCGATGTAGGATGTTTTGGTAATGACACTATCCATACTCCAAATATAGACAGCATTGCAAGGCAAGGAGTTAAATTCAGTCATCATGTCATACCAGCTCCCCTCTGTTCGCCAAGTAGAGCGGCTTTTATCACAGGACGACATCCAGTCAGATCAGGTAATACATTTCATCAACATTTTCATTGTGGTCTATGGAAACTACTGCTAAAATGGCATTTTTAGTCTCTATTTCCAACATAGCTCGAAACCATTGAGTGTATCTCAGACACTCAATGACCGATCTCATTCAAAATTTACATAAAGACAATATATCCTATTTTACAGATGAGTTTTTAGCTCCGCTGTTGACTTTGTCAAGCGGAGCTTATCATATGAGTGATAGACCGTCGTTGTCGTCCATCATCCATTCTACTTTTTTGACTTCTATTTGAAAACTACAGTTCTTATTGCTTTGATACTTGGTGTATATGTACCTTGGGCAGACTTCTCTCAGATTTGTTTATTTCATGATATCTTCAGTTCTCTAATAATTTTGATGAATATTTTTTTTCGTTTGGGTGAAAAGTTATAAGTCTGATTGCTTTGATACTATACATATAGGTACCTCTAGTAGACCTCTCACAGATTTGTTGAAAAGTGCATTGCTAACAGCGGAGCTATCTCAGCTGAGAAGCTGTTTGTTTGTTTGTTTACTTCCAAAATGGCCAACTGGTGGCCATTTTGGAAGTAAAATTTGCTATTTTTGGTTCTCAAATGTATCAGCAGCTGAACCAAAAAAGTTCACATACTGTTGAATAATACTAAAATGAATAATTATTGACACAAGATTTCATATTGTCAGTTTGGACAATTTTTTTTAATTATTTTATCAAAATACCACCTTATATAATACAAATATATCTTACAGTTTTTAGAGGCCAGATTCTAGATGAGGTTTTTTGGATGCAAAAAAAATAAATGTAAACAAGTTACCAAAAATAACTGTACAGTATGGAATGTACAGTATGTCAGTATGGAATCAATTTAGAAACTAACCGCAAGCTGGTATACTAATTTTGGATGTCTAAGTCATTGCTAGTTAAATAAGTTTAAATTAAATATTTTCTTCACCTTGATTATACCAAGCACCACCAAAATCTGATGAAAGTACCGGTAGTAGTGTTTTTAAATGGCCAGCTCTTTCTTTTCTTTCCTCTCTTAAGGTATTGAATTTCTGGCTTTCCCTGAAAAAAAAAGTACCAAAAGAAACTGATTTAAATAATATTCATGACTGAATGTTATAGATATCTGTGATCATTACTGTCCTTAATAATTTTTATAAAATTTGAATAAAAAGCTACTGAGTCCATAAATTTGCTAGGAGGAAAATATTATATTCTGAATGCATCAACTTTTTAGGAATGCTTGGATATGGTCGATTACGTATGGTTCCTTTCCTCGCTGCCACTGCTGGACTGCCTCCAAATGAAACAACATTTGCTGAAGTGCTTAAAGATGTTGGGTATAAAACAGGATTAGTCGGTAAGCACATGTATGATTCTGATCATTAAAAATGTATTCTTTGATAAAATCCTACAACTGTTGTTATCTTGGGATACCAAGTATGAGGTAGTTGTTGAATTTTATCAACAATAAAATAAAATAAAATGAGCCCTTGGATTTCTATTTTTCATATAGCATTAAACAACACCTACTAGCTACCCACTAATATTTCCCCTAGGCACAGAGAGCATTGTATTCCACATCTGGTAGGCCATAGAGGGCATGATGGGCCATAAAGGCCATTTTTGGCCATGGAGAGCATGGTAGTCCATAGAGGGTATGGGAGGCCACAGTTGACATAGAGGGCATGGTAGGCCATAAAGTGCCTGGTAGGCCATGGAGAGCGTGATATGCCATAGAATGCATTGTAGATCATAGAGGTCGTGAGGGCATTGTAGCCAATAGAAGGTGTAATAGGCCATAGAGTGCATGGTAGGCCATGAAGGGCATAGTAAGCCATAGAGGGCGCGATAGGCCATTAAGGGTGTGATTGGCCATAGAGTGCATGGTATGCCATATAGGGCATAATAAGCCATAGAGCGCATGGTATGTCAGAGGGCATAGTAGGCCATAGAGGGCGTAATAGGCCATAGAGCGCATGGTAGGCCATAGAGTGCATGGTATGCCATGTAGGGCATTGTAGCCCATAGAGGGCATAATAGGCCATAGAGCGCATGATATGCCAGAGAGCATAGTAGGCCATGGAGGGCATAGTAGACCATAGAGGGCAAGGTAGACCATAGAGGACATGACAGGACAAAGAGTGCATGGTAGGTCATAAAGGGCATAGTAGGCCATAGAGGGCGAGATGGGCCATAAATAGCATGGTAGGTCATAGAGGGTGTGATGGGCCATATATGGCATGGTAGACCATAAAGGGCGAGATGGGCCATAAATGGCATGGTGGGCCATAGAGAACATGATGGGTCATAAAAGGCATGGTAGGCCATAGAGGGCGAGATGGGCCATAAATAGCATGGTAGGTCATAGAGGGTGTGATGGGCCATATATGGCATGGTAGACCATAAAGGGCGAGATGGGCCATAAATGGCATGGTGGGCCATAGAGAACATGATTGATCATAAATGGCATGCTAGGCCATAAAGGGTGAGATGGGTCATAAATGCCATGTAGACCATAAAGGGCGAGATGGGCCATAAATGGCATGGTAGGTCATAGAGGGTGTGATGGGCCATAAATGCCATGGTAGGCCATAGAGGACATGGTAGGCCATAGAGGGCGAGATGGGCCATAAATGGCATGGTAGGCCATAGAGGGTGTGATGGGCCATAAATGCCATGGTAGGCCATAGAGGACATGGTAGGCCATAAATTGTATGGTAGGCCATAGAGGGCGAGATGGGCCATAAATTGCATGGTGGGCAATAGAGGACATGATGGGTCATAAATGGCATGGTAGGCCATAGAGGGTGAGATGGGCCCATAAATGGCATGGTAGAACATAAAGGGCTTGATGGGCCATAAATGTCATGGTAGAACATAAAGGCCGAGATGGGCCATAGAGGGCATGGTGGGCCATAGAGGGCGAGATAATTAAATTACATATATTTGTGTTAGACTTCTATTTATTTTCTATTTTATCTTTTATTGCTTCAGGTAAATGGCACATGGGACTGCACTGTGAAAATAGGCAAGATTTTTGCCATCATCCTTTAAAACAGGGTTTTGATTTTTACTATGGTTTACCTCTGACTAATCTTAGGGACTGTGGTGAAGATGCTACTCGCAGCGTTATAACTGCAAGAATACCACAGATGACAGAAATCTTGGCACTTAGCATGGTCATTGTTGTGGTCACATTGGTTGCATTCACAAAAATTGGACTTATACAACGACGAGGCTTCATCTTCTTGCTTGCTGTGAGTTTCATCATTTTTGCAACACCAGTCGTTCTCCAGAAAGGACTCAGGAGAATAAATTGCATACTGATGAAAAACTATGATGTAGTGGAACAGCCCGTCATATTGGAAAACATGACTCTCCGGATAACTCAGCAGTCTATGCAATTTCTCAAAAGCAGTCAAAATGAAGCATTCCTGCTGTATGTCTCGTTTCTGAAAGTACACACAGCGCTGTTCAGCTCATCCAAATTCAAGGGTATCAGCAAACATGGCAATTATGGTGATAACGTGGAAGAGATGGATTGGAGTGTTGGTAAAATTCTGTCCACTTTGGAGGAGCTTGGATTGAAAGAGAACACTTTTGTGTATTTGACATCTGATAATGGTGGCCATCTTGAAGAGATAGCTTCTGACGGACAGCGTGAAGGAGGACATAATGGAATATACCGAGGTGAGATATCACTCCATTGATATCTATGATGATGGTTTCATCACAAAACAAAGTGAACTTATGGAAAGGTTCGCTGAATGAGCCTGTAATACATTTCAAGTAAGGACACTAGCAGAAACAGTCCCAAAAACTGATCAGTTTTTAGTCCCTGTTTGAACGAAGTCCAAAAACGGGGATTATTCATTTGGGTTTGTTGTGTCCGTTCGTCCATATGTATGTCCGGAGCTATATCTCGGACACTCATTGACAGATTCCATTCAAACTTTACATGAAGACAATACATAATGTCTTACATATGCGTGTCAAGTTACTTTATGATCATAGCAAAAATGGCAAACTGGCGGCCATTTTGGATTTAAAATTTGCTATTTCTGATACCTAAACGTGTCTGCGGCAGTTTCTCGGAGATGACTGGGCCAATTTGGATCAAAGTTTGTATGATGATTATATATATTGTGTTGTAGGTGCACGTCATTTTTTTTGTGATTTGAACAAATATGGCCAACTAGCGGCCATCTTGTTTTTCATGATACCCATGCTACTTTATCTTGAATGCAATGAATGTTCCTGTTTAAAATTTGTACAAAGATAGTATACCAAGAGATACATCTGCACCAACATGATTTTTGTGATTCAATTCAATATGGCTGGCCGACACCCAATTTTCATGTAAAAACGCTAAATCGTCATTTTTACATGTCTGGAGCTGTTTCTCAGAGATGGCCGGGCCGATTTGGATCAAACTTGGTATTATGATCATACATATTTGCTTATAGGTGCACGTCATACTTTTTCCATGATTCAAACAAATATGGCCGACTGGCGGCCATTCTGTTTTTCATGGTACCCATGCTACTTTCTCTTGAATGCCATGAACATTTCTGTTTAAATTTTGTACAAAGATAGTATACCAAGAGATACAACTACACCATCATTATTTTTGTGATGCGATTCAATATGGCTGACTGACGCCCAATTCTGATATAAAAGCACTACAAATCATCATTTTTACATGTCTGGAGCTGTTTCTCAGAGATGACTAGGCCAATTTGGATCAAAGTTGGTATGATGATCATACATATTGGGTTATAGTTGCATGTCATATTTTTTCTGTGATTCAAACTAATATGGCTGACTGGTAGCCATTTTGTTTTTCATGATACCCATGCCTACTTTCCCATGAATTCAATGAACATTTCTGTTTAAATTTTGTACAAAGACAGTATACCAATAGATACATGAACATTATTATTTTCCAATTCTCATGTAAAAATTTTTACAAATCCATCTCCTATTATTGGTTTCAATTTAATCTCAATGACTTCAACAGCATCAAATTGATATGTCAGATCACAAAATTTTGGACGGGGACTGTTTCATTTAACAATGACTTGTTTTTCACAGAATCACTCACTCAGTGACTTATGGGTAATGGGCATTACCAAAGGGCTTGTATGACCAATGGCTAATTCTTCTTTGTATGTATTAGGAGTTTTTTGTGTGGGCATGGTAGGCCATAGAATGTGTGGTAGGCCATAGAGTGTACGGTAGGCCATAGAGGGCATGGTAGGCTATGAAAGATGTTATACAACATGGTACACTTTTTGAAATGTTTTATAAATATTTAAAAAATATGTTCATAGCTTTCTAAAAATGCCTGTATGGGAAAATGAAACCAACCTTCCTTCCTTCCAAAAACAAAATGTTCATTTTTGTTTCTCTACAGGTGGTAAAGCCCAGGTCTGGGAAGGAGGCCTCAGAGTTCCAACAGTAGCTATGTATCCTGGTGTTATACCTCCATCTACAGAAGTGATGCAGCCTACCAGTAACATGGACATTTTTCCAACCATAATTAAACTAGCCAATGCTTCCTTGCCTTCAGACCGGGTCATTGATGGC